TGGGTAGGTGTGGCATAGGTCAGTGGATGACAAGCCGGGGCCCATGAACTTGATGGGTGCATGATAAGGAGCCCAGCCAGGGTGACGACTCCCTGACGAGTCTGATGCTGGGTGTGGTGGTGCATCCCTGTTGCTGCAAATTCTCGAGACCAGCCTGAACTACAAAGTGAGCTCAAGGCCAGCTTTGAACTGCACAGCAGGACACAGTCTCAAAAAAACCCAAAAGGACAGGCCAAATAACTCAGCAGATTAAAGCACCCGCTTAGGGAGTTCAATGCCTCAGGCCTGCTGTGTGCCCCCCCCCCCCCCATGGCACACTGAGCCCGTGACTGAGACTGGGTGTGGAGGCGCGCCTGCACTTGGGAGGCTGTAAGCAGGAGGATCATTATGAGTCGGATCTTCACAGTGAGACCCTGTAGACCCTGCCCTAAGATTCAAAACAAACAGTTTGTTTTTTTGAGGCAGAAAAGGTGCTGGGCCCAGATGTAGCCCAGGCTGGCCTCCAAGTCTCGCCAAGCCTCTCGTCCCAGCCTCCTGCGTGTTGTGAATCCAGGCGGCGGCAGCACACCCAGCTTTATAGTCTGAGTAGAATTTTCAGTGAAGCAGTCTGGGCTTGACATTGGTTTTTGTTTTTTCATTTCTGTTTTTGTTTTTGGAGTATTGGGTGTTGGACCCAGAGGGTCGCACAGGGGATGATTTGTTTTAAGGCCTTTTATTTCGTTTTGCTTATGTTTTTTGAAACATCATGTGACTCAGGCTGCCCTCAAACCTGTGACCCTCCTGCACACCCACAGGTGTGCACTGCAGTATCCAGCCTGGGAGCTTCGGAATTACAAATTGGGTGCGATGGTTACAGACTACCGTGTGTGTGTGTGTGTGTGTGTGTGTGTGTGTGTGTGTGTGTGTGTTACTGGGGGCTGACTGCAGAACTTCCGCACTTGGCTATATCCCCAGCACTCCCACTCCTGGGTTTTTGTTTTGTTTTGTTTTGTTTTGTTTTTGAGACCATGCTGGCTAAACTCCTAAACTGCCTAGACTGGGCTAGAATTTGGAGTTCTCCTGCCTCAACCTGCCAGTGTGATGGGATTCCAGGACGGGTGTCATCACACCCGGCTCTCATGCATCTTTTATTTATTTATTTATTTATTTATTTATTTATTTATTTATTGGGCACAGATAGTTTCAGGGCCAGCATGGCGTATGGTACCAGGGATCGAACTTGGGTCCTTGTGCTTGCCAGGCAGGTACATAGACAGCTGAGCTAGCTCCCCAGACCTCTCATGCATCTTGGTGAAAAAATGTTGAAGGATTATTGATTTGAGACTTCCTTTTTAATATTTATTTTTACATTCATTTATTTTGTTATTGTGAGACAGGGTCTCACTGTGTAGCCCAGGCTGGCCTCCAACTCACATCAATCCTCCTGCCTCAGCTTCCCAAGTGCAGGGATGACAGGAGAAGGTCACCAAGCCTGGCTTAGTGAGGTGCTTTAAAACTGTGATTGATCCCAGCTCCTTGGGAGACTAAGCCAGTAGGGCCACGTGTTGGAGGCTGGCCTGAGCAATTTAGCAAGGTCCTCCTGCCTGGAGATAAAAAGGCTAGAGGTGCCGCTCAAGACCCCGGGCTCAGTTTCCAGGAAAACGACACCCCACACACACATATGACACGGAGAAGAGCAGTTTTCCCTTGAGCAGTTTTACACTCGAGTGAGGCGTGTGTGGAATTTGGCTCCAGCGGGGGCCTTCTCCTCCCCTCATCTCTGCCATGCCTTGAGCACCAGGTGATGTCCCATTCCCTTCCTTTCCAGGCCGCATACGCTGTAGAAACCAGCAGGAGAAGGGTAGCCCGTGGTTTCCTTTCTTCTGTTGTTCTGATACCCAAGATTCATTGTTTCATTTCCTTTCTGCTGAAAGAACCCCTGCAAGCCATTTTCTAAAGACAGGCTTGATAGTGGGTAATCCCTGCAGCTCGCATTCATCTGAGGCAGCCTTTGCTCTCACTTATTTGCAGTTTTGTCATCAGGCGCTGGCTTAGCCCTTTTTATTCTCTTGAGATAGCTTCTCGCTCAAATTGTCCAGGCTGGGCTTCAATTTGCAGTCAGCCCCTTCAGTTCACCAGTACCTGGGAAAGCTTTGCCTGTGTTGCCCCCATCCCACTTTATTTTATTTTGAGATAGGGTCTTACAATGTAGTCCAGGCTGGCCTTGAAGCAGGTAGCCCAGGTTGGTCTCAAATTTACACAGATCCTCCTGCCTCTGCCTCCAGAGTGTGCCACCACGTCCAGTACCCATCTTGCCCGTTGTTAAGCTTGCAGTTTAGTAGTGCTATATTTGCATTACTGTGCAGCCCAGTGCAGGGCTTCTTATTTTGAAGAACTGAATTTCCATCCCTTTGAACATGAGAGGGACTTTTCAGTTGGTAAGATCAACAGATTTTCAGTGTCAGTTTGAGGTGTGCCTTAAACCGTCGTAAGTACAGATAGGAGGGGCCACTGGCCACTGGCCAGAGATGTGGCGGCCCCCAGGAACTCCCTAACAGGGTGCCATGTAAACTAACCGTAAAGGTGTTTGATATTTGATTTTTCCCACTTTCTTGTAGTTTTGTGCATATTTAAAAACCTCCTCAACAAAAAGGGGTGTGTGTGTGTGTGTGTGTGTGTGTGTGTGTGTGTGTGTGTGTTGGTGGTGGTATTGGGGATTGAACCAAGGACTTCACACTGAGCTACGTACCTCTTCATTATTTTTTCACTTTGAAATGGGTATAAATTGTAAAGTCACCCAGGCTGGGTAGGAACTTGTGGTCTTCCTGCCTCAGCCTCCCAGAGTGCTGGAATGAGAGGTGTGGAACACCAAGCCCAGCTAATGGAAGTTTTTAGACTTCTCCCCAGTGCATAGAAGTGAAGGCCAAACCCAAACACCCTTACTAGGCCTTGTCATGTTTTATCTTGTGTTGGCTGCTATTCTGCCAGAACCACAAAGTGCTGAAAAACACTGTCCTGGGCAGGTCCTGGGCTGCTCTGGCCCTCCCTTACCGCGGGCTAGACCAGCTTCTGCTCTGTCATTCCTAAGACGCTGCTGTCCCACAACACTGACCATAGCCCAGGTCACCTCCCACCCCTCTGACTCCAAGTACCCCTGCCAGGGCAGCTGGCCCCTCTGGGTTGCAGGGACCCCACCTACCCTGCCTGAGTGCTCCTGGGCCAGCCTATCCATCTCCCATGACAGGATCCTGTGGGCTCACGTGGTTTGCTCCCCACCACGTGTCCCACCAGGCTCTCGCCTGGCAGCTCAGAACACATGCCAGGGGAAGGACCAGCCTGGCTCTGCCTCCACAGATGATACGTGGAAGGCCAGGGTGTAGGACTGCAGAGGGGGTCAGAGCTACAGGCCTCAGGTGTCATTGGGCCCAGTTCCAACTCAGGGCTTGCCCAAGACAGCTTCTTCTCCATTTGTGAGCTCTAGCTCTTTCCCTTGGGGGACCTTCCTTGCCAATGCCCCACTCCTGGAGCTGAGGACTAGGGACAGGGATGGAAGGTGTGTGGTTCTGCTGGGCTGGTGGGTGGTCACAGCCTCTGTCCTATAGGGCAGCAAGGGGTCTTCCTGGCCTTCCTCCTCCTTCAAGGCTGGGACCAGGAAACAGCGGGCTGGGGTCTCTTTCCGTGGGGTGAAGGGCATGAGATTCTTTGGCTGTACTCTTCACCTGCTCCCTCTCCTACTCCCCACTTCCTCTGCAGCTTTGAGTTGTATTTTGGTTTTCCCTCATTGCTAGCATTCATGGTTGTCCCTAGAAGGAAAGAACCGCACCCTGTGCACACCCTCTCCTCTAGACCCACTAAAGGGCACGCATTTCTGAAAGGCATGCAATGTTGCTGAGGCAGTAGGCAGCTGGCAGCAGCGCAGGAGCTCAGCTGAAGGTCACGGGAGGAGACCACGTAGGGTGCTTGGGTAGGGTGTGTGAAAGGAGGAGGAAGATCCCACTGTGGGGGTGCAAAGATGGATGGTTTTCTCCCAGTGTAGAGGCAGTCTGGGGAAGATCCTGGATTCAGGTTCAGGGTAAAAGGTCCAAACTGCCTTGAACCCAGGCAGAAGGCTGGTGCCAGCAGGGTCAGACATGCCCAGGCTTTTGGAGAGGATAGAACCAGAAGGCAGAGAGTGGAGGTTCCTTCCCTGCCTGCCACAATGGCTACTCTGATCCCCCACCCCACCCCCAGTTCAGAGACATGACAATGTGTCCTTCCTCTGTCTCTCGGTGCCTGGCACCAAGGAAGAGGGGGGCTGGTCCCGGGTGCAGCGGCCCGCAGTTGTGGAAGCAATAGCGCGATTCAGGAAGGCCTAGGGGCGGCTTCACTATCTGAGAAGCAGTGGCGGAGCGCCGCCAGAGGTGGAGGGAGGCGCTTCTTCCCGGTTTCCTTCCCATGCCTAGGGAACTGGGAAGAGAAGCAATTGGGTGTCGGCAGATCCACGAGCTCCGGGGAGATCCAGAGACCCTGTTCAGCCCGGGAGCACATCTGAGACGGCCTTCCCTGCTATGCTCGCCTAGCTCTCCATCTTTGGTTACCAAGGAGACAGGAGGCGGTTGCCATGGAGAGCGACGACTAGCAAGGACCAGCCAATCACTTTGGAGCTGCGGTCCCAGCTCATCCTTAGAGGGAGGCTACGGGCGGGGCGCGCCCCGTGCCCCCTGCGTGGCCCGCGAGGGTGGGCGCAGCCCGCCATCCCGGAACCACGCAAGGACACCTCCCCGGGCCCCGCATCCCGGTTCCGGCGTTGCCTCCGCCTCTTCCCGGTGAGAGGTGATGCCACCCTGGGAGGGGCCCCTCCTGGAAAGCCCCAGTCCCTCCTTCCATAAGGGGGTGCGGGAAAGGCGGGGCGCCGCAGGAGGGCGGGACCCCTCAGCCCCTCCGCAGTGCCTGCGCACGCTCACTCGCTCACTCGCGCCGGCCGCGGGCGGGGCCGTGACGTCACCACGCCCCCCCCCCTCCCGGCCGAGGGGCGGCGGCCGTGGACACACGGACAGAGCGGGGGAACCAGGGACGGCGCCAGGCCATGCCCGGGGAAGCTGCCCGCGCCGAGCTGCCGCTGCCCGAGGCGGACGGAACCGAGCCGCGCACAGGTGAGGCCGCGTCGCCCCATCCCTGGCCCCCGCGTGGTCCCCGCTGTCCCCTCCCCTCCGCTCCGCCCGGCACTTCAGAGAGTGCGAGAGGGCGACCCGAGGCGACGTACGGACCTGAGCCCCCTGACCCCGCCGGCGCCCCTGTGTGTGCGGGGACCCGGGGTCTGCAGGCCAGGCCCACCTGTCCAGGTCTTTGGTCAGCGCGGGAGGCCGGGCCCAGGACGGAGGAGGGATCTGGGCCCGGCAGCAGCGGCCCCGCGCAGCCCCCATGACCTCCTGAGGCAGGGACAGGTCACCGGCTGGGGCCGCCCACCGGGACAGTTCCTGCTGGAGGCCAGCCTGTGTGACTGGGGCAGGGCCAAGGGCACCTTGCTGTGGGCCACAAGTCACCTGGGGATGGGGTCAGTGCTGGCCAAGGGCCAGGCCAAGAAGGGGCGCCACTGCCACCACAGTCGGACGGGCAACGGGCAACCCAGGTCGGGACTTCCCCAGCCCGGTCGTGCACTGGCTGTCTTGTGGCTGGGGGCCTCAGGAGCCGCAGAACCTTTGGCCCCTGTTTCCCTCTAGCTCACCCTTGGCCCAGTTCTGCCCCACCCTGGCCCCAGGCAGTCAGTGCTAAGGGCCTGGCTTCAGGACACAGAGATGCTGCAGCCACACCCACTCCCAGTGTCTTGTTGCCCCCTTAGCTGCGCGGCCTGCTGGTGGCCTAGGGCCTGTGCCCCGAGGCCGCTGGGGGCTTTGGGCAACCGGGTGAGGGGTTCTGTGGCGTCCATCTCTCATTCCTGCGATCTTACTTTGTGATGAGATCAAGAAAGCCAGTCTCAGCCAGATGCTGTACCAGCCAGGGAGGCAGCAGGCCTTGCAGCCTGCTCTGGGGGCAGGAGGAGGGCCCAGAGATGAGCCTCTGGCCTCCGTCCAGGTGAGGGAGGGCTGTTATTGGCATTAAAAATGCAGCTGTGAGCGCTCAGCGCATGGAGAAGCACTCAGTGGATGGTGTTGGTGAGACCACAAGATTCAGGAGAGTGCAGAGCGACTCCGCGCAGTCACCAAGAGCCCGGAGGCCACAGACCCCTGCGCCTTCTCATGCTGCTGCCCAGAGGGGACTTCTTCCACCTGCCCAGGTCCCCAAAGTGCTCTCTGATCCACACTCCTTTGTGCTGTGTTGTGGAGTGGCTCTTCGGCCTGTGGAGGCTGCCTGGGCACTCAGGGCCTCCTCACTGGGAACCTGGGGATCCAGAGAAGGGCCAGGAGAGGCAAGAGCTCCCAGCACTGAGGGGGTGGCTGTCACTATGGAGAGCACCTGGTCACAGGCGGCACCAGCCTCCCACTGCTGTCCTGCTTCGAGGTCACTATCCAAGCCCACAGTGACCTCCAGCCCAGCCCCTGCAGGATGAGTCTGCCTCCACTGTCCAGAGATGTAGCCACACACAGGACACAGTGGGCACAGGGGCCCTGGGGGCCACCCGCTCCTGCCAAGCCCGCTGCACCTTGCTGAGTGCAGGAGGGGAAGCAGCAAGCTGTCTCCAAAAGGAGAAGGGCTCCTTGCATGTATCCTGAAGTGTCCCCAAGAAAACCCTGGGTTTACAACACAGGGCAGCACTCCCCACCCCCAACCCTTGCATCCACAGAGCTGTCGTCAGCAGTTCGCAGCTCTGGGAAACTCCTTGACATTCTCCCCTTCCAAGCTCTTCTTTCCTGTCTTCTCCAGGGAGCTCTCTCTGGCCCCCTGAAAGTGGATACTGCCCCATGCGCAGCTCACCGATCTGGCCTGGCCTGGCCTGGAGAGGTGACCAGGGTGCCTCATGTCTTTCTGTCTCTGTAGATCTTGCCTGTGATGTGCCTGCTGTCACCATCCTGGGAGGGGAGCAGCAGGAGCCTCGTAACCTGATCCCAGCCCCCAGCCCCCTGGCCCTCGCGTTCCTGCCCAGCAAGCCTGGCGCCCGGCCTCAGCCGGAGGGAGCCAGCTGGGATGCTGGGCCTGGTGGGGGCCCCTCATCCTGGGCAGACCCAGCAGAGGGAGGCCCCAACTCAGCGCTCCTCCCCGAGGGCCTGCACCCTCAGGCTCTGCCCACCGCCCTGGAGCCCCGGATCGTGATGGGCGAGGAAACATGCCAGGCACCACCAACGGCTAGGGCAGCCCTGCCAGTGCTCAGGGAACAGGAGCTGTGCCCTCAGGATGACCCTGCTGTGCCTTCCCGGGCCCCAGATCCCGAGCCCTACTTCACCCCTCCCTCCAGCCCCACCGAGGCCACCTACACCCTGCTCCTCAACCGTGGGCTGTACAAGGACGCATGGGACCCCGAGGCGGAGCTGCTGGACTCACTGGCTTCCTCACCTTCGGGCTCCTATGTTACAGCAGATGGGGACAGTGGGACCTTGTCACCCTCTTGCTCCCTCAGCCTGCTGGCCCCCACTGAAGGACCAGATGTCCCCTCAGGCTGGAGCTTCTCCCAGCCAGAGCTGGTGGCTGAGGAGTGGGAGCAGCACCCTGCAGAGACCCCATCCTCTGAGTCCAGCCTGTCAGGAGACAGTGGCTCTTCCTGGGGCCAGGAGGGCCACTTCTTTGACCTGGACTTCCTGGCCAATGATCCAATGATCCCTGCGGCCCTGCTGCCCTTTCAGGGCAGTCTCATCTTCCAGGTGGAGTCTGTGGAGGTGACGCCACTGGCTCCTGAGGAGGAGGAGGAGGAAGAGGAGGTGGCACCTGATAGCCTGGCCCCTGATGGAGATGTGGCGGGCGAGGATGAGCAGGATAGTGCCTCAGCCTCCTTCCTCCAGTCACTGTCTGACTTGTCCATCACTGAAGGCATGGATGAGGCCTTCGCCTTCCGAGACGACACCTCAGCGGCCTCCTCAGACTCGGACTCAGCATCCTATGCAGGAGCAGATGACGACAGCCTGTACAGCGGGGAGCCCCACGCCCAACCCAGCACGCTGCTGCAGGCTGCTATCCAGAAGGTGGAGCAGGAGTGTATAGGCAAGGCTGTGTTCTGGGGTGCAGAAGCCAGGGGGACAGTGCCCATCCCTTGGGTCCCAGAGGGAGAAGCCTGCCTCAGCCACAGCCAGGATTCAGTCACAGGAATCACAGAAGTGGGCCTTGCTTCAAGCCAGGAGTATGCAGCTACTGTGACCTCTCACGCTGGGCAGGTGACCAACAAGGTGACCACTCAGGTGGGTGCTGAAGAAGTTGACTCTGTGGCCAGAGGAATACCTGTCACCCAGGTGCCAGCTTACCCCTCCCAGAACAGGAGCGCTGCCTTAGGCCGGCCACCCAGAGCTACGGAAGCCGAACCAGCTCTGCGGGAAGCAGCAGGCTGTCCTGAGCTCACAGGACCCCAAGGAACCCCAGGCCTCCTCGAAGGCCTTGAGTCTGTGGCAGCAGCCATGCTGGGGTCCCAGCAGGCTGAAGGGGGCACCCCGTTACCCCAGAACTGTCTTGAGTCTGCACTTCCACCCCTGCTAGATGAAGATCCCATCTCAGACCTAGAGTTTGTGGCTGCAGCCATGCTGGAGTCTGAGGAGGCTGGAGATGTCACCCCATTACTCCCAGACTCTCCTGAGTCCGCACTTCCGCCACTGTTGAAGGAAGAGCCCATCTCAGGCCTGGAGTCTGTGGCTGCGACCATGCTGGGGCCCCTGCAGGCTCAAGGGGGCGCCCCATTACCCCAGGACTCTCCTGAGTCCTCACTTCCACCACTGCTGAAGGAAGATACCATCTCAGGCCTGGAGTCTGTGGCTGTGACCATGCTGGGGCCCCTGCAG